CATCGAAAGAGTTAGAGCATGTTGTCGGTCTGTTTCGTCTGTTACAAAGGAAACAATACGGACTGCTGTATGTGAAATCGAGGGGACGATCTACATTAATGGCGGCTGAAAAGTAAACAAAAACCCACTAGAGCCGGAAACATCAAATATTGTAAATGTATTTCTCATTATCGTTAAACTACTACTTCAAGTGACCTACCCATTAGTATCGAACATTCTTAAGCCTGTTCCAGGAACCTGAAACGGGGCTCACGGAACGTTGTTGGTTCTACTAAGGTGCCCGTTCGTGCCTGAAATAATGCACGGAGGTCTTCCATCCACCAGTTAAGCCGGGAAATCGCCATGTGACCTATACTACGTCGGTGCGACGTAAACCCCAACAAAGCAATCCGAAACTCGACCAGTGAAGACCAAGGAAAGTCCGCACTTTCGTGAATGGTAAGGGTAAAATAAGAAAAGTCTACCATTCATACTTTTCAAGTATGTCATTTTTATCTTATTATTTCAAGACGAACAATTTTGTGAATATTAATAAATTTTGCTCTTGAACATTTTGTTCTCTGCTATATAAATATAAAATTATGTTATACCAGACTTGTCACAGTAACTTATTTAAAGTAAAGCACTTAAATTTGAAAAAAAAAATCTGCAAAGGATTATAAGCAAATTTTTTTAAGTTGTAACGCGTTTCATTTATCTTTCATGTTGCACACACAAAAACAATGATAACCCTAGAAAAAAAAGTGAGGGAATGATCTGAAAATTTGCGCATAGGTTTTTGGACCTAGACCTACATTAAAAGGTAGGCCTACACGAATATCGGGAACATATATCCAGTCCTTAAATCGCTATGGTTGATTAGGATAACAAATATCTAAATCGCTGTATTATATGTATAAAAAGATTAAAATAAAATTCACCTTAATCGTGCATAAGAAATTTAAAAAAAAATAGAAATATTTCTTCATGAATCAGGTATTAAAGTTTGCACTTACTTGTTTCATTAAGACAAAGATTTTCTAGATCTTTGTCGTACACATCCCATTTTCTCGTAACATTACATCGACCTATTACCTTTGTCTTGTCAAAGCAAAGAACACTCCTCACTTCAATATTTCTTGGTCTTTTAAAAAGTACCATGCAATTTGAAATGATGTATTTTGTCATTTCTTCTATATTTTCGTTCGGTAGTGAATACATATTTGTACATTTATAATTTCCAGGTATCTTCATTTCCCATGTTATGGTGCTGTTTTCACCGTGACAAAGTGCACAGAATTTGTTTTTATAAACTATTTTCCCATCCTCAGAAGAAACGAATCGTATCTCTTCAAAAGAGGTTGGAACAGTTGTTTCACATTTATTCTTGATATAATTGTTTTCGTAAGTGTCAGGACAGCGAACTCTTGTGTAATATGAATCGCTCAAAACATCGCCTGTTATACCTTTTGGCGTGTATAAGGCTGGTAGACATTGTTGCCTATGTTTTAAACTTGCTTTGGCAAGCCCAGGTTTGTCCGAGCAACACGTATTTCTTTCAAAGCAAATATCGGTGCATCCACAATAGAGACAGCATGAAGTGTCTCTCCGTTCTAAATTTGTTTGGTTGACGCTACACTTCGGCTCAAACCCACAGACTTCCTCCTCTAAATCCATTCTAATTAGGTGGATTTGTTTAGGAGTAAGAAGAATCAATTTAATAAGATATAATATTATTGTCAGCTCCATGCTTCGTCCTAGCGTATGTGTAGGAACGTCCAGCGTATCAGTTTACTATATTTATCACATTATTATATTATCACATTATTAGCTTGACGTCAGATTCGTATCATAGCGACAGTAAATCCCCTCTTTTCTTGCCAACCAATTACGAACAAGGTAGTTATCTTTCTTTTTTTAAACATGTATTTCCTCACGCCTTTAAACAGTACTAACACGTATGTTTATTAAAAACAGAGAGACAAGGGGAATGCCATAATAATTTGTACAAAACCAATACGACGTTTTAACGGAAAAAGGCTAGACATGAAAACAAAAGAACAAATTCAATGTTGATTGCTGGCATCTATGTACATTCAGAGACGGGCGAAAAAGACTAAACATTCTGTACTAGCGGTTTGCACAAGTGGACTCCTATAGTACAAATGTACACAGTGAAGATCGGTAATACGTGCTTGCATATGTATCATCTAGAAGAAAGTAACAACATAAGTAACGGAAAATGCATGGCTGGCTTTGAAACCAGACAAAAAAGATTTATTAAACATTCGAAAAGTAACCCTACATATTTTTCGAAAAACTCCAGAAAATGGGTCTGAGACACGTAATGCCGATCGGATGAACGGATTATCTTTTTTGTATCATCGGGAAGTTATCATTTCATGTATTTGAGTTTCAGCTTCAAATCAAATGCGCTGTCTGACAGGTTTAAACACCGCTGATCGGTACAAGTGTTACGTGAAAGTTACAAGCGTACGAAAAAGACGGCCCAGATGGGTTTCTAGAGCAGACCTGCATGGACGATAACATATCTCGGACATATAGTTATATCCGGTGCTGAACATTAATAAATGCTTATTATTTATTGATTTATTTATTTGCTCTTTCAATTTTTTCATACGGTACATTAAAAGTGTCTAAATGCACTTCCAGGCATAATAAGCTGTTTTAGACTTTCATTGTTATAAAATATATGCTGTCCAACAAAATAGGGGAGAACAGAACCCCTAAAGAATGCTCAAAATGGCAAATTAAAAATGAGTACTACTTTTGAATTAAAATTATGAAAATGCGTAAGACTTTACTAAGACTATAACTTAATGTTCCTGCATTAATAACGCCATATCTTTTTGCTTCTTTTTACAAATAACGCAAAATTGACCAGGACATTAATAAAGCTAGGTTTACCTCGGCTGAGAGGGCTTCTATGGCCGAGTTGTTAAGGTTGTTGACTTCAGACCATGTGCCTCTCACCGCTGTTGGTTTGATCCGCGCCAGTTTGCTAACGGAACGTCGTAGGTTTTAGTCAGGTGCCCGTTTGTGCCTGAAATAATTCACAAAGGGACATCTGGTGTTTTCTTCCACAAGCCAAGCTTCAAAGTCGCCATATGACTTTTTCTGTGTTGTTGCAATGAAAAAGCCCAACAAAAAAGTGAGTATTTTTTTAAAGATACTTTTGTTCAGCCTGACATCGTGTACACAAAAAAACGCAACTAAACTAAACCAAATCTTACTATGTACGCTTCATTATATGCATTTTTATAAGAGAGAAAGGGACGAGCTGTCGATTGCAATAAACAAACAAATACAGTTTTAGACTGTTAATGAAAGTAAGTAAAAATTTCAACGTTCTTGAACGGTCAATATGAGTTAATACCGCTTAAGCCGTTGCTAAGGAACATAAGAGATGTCGCTTGCATGAACAGACTCATCAAGACAAGTTTGAGCCGTGTCATGACAAAACCAACATAGTGCGTTTGCGACCAGCATCCGCGCAGTCTGATCAGGATCCATGCTGTTCGCTATCAGTTTCTTTACTTGTTATAGGGTCTGTAAGCGAACAGCATGGATCCTGATCAGGCTTCGCGGATGCACAGGCCGGTCTGGATCCATGCTGGTCGCAAACCCATCATGTTGGTTTTGTCATGACACGGCTCATTTGCCTTTCAAGAATTGTCACTTATTTAATATTCATACATGCCCGTGTATTTCACTTAAAGCCCACTGGTGTCACAGCAAATAGGCGTTACAAAATGTAAGCCTTTTACTCTTTACATTTTACATTTTTATTTCATTAGTATAAATATACATAATCATTTAATTAAAATATCCTTATATAAGTATTATAATATTAGAAATTAGCAATCTATAAGTTAAAAAATTATTATTAATTACATATTGATAATGATTCCAAAGTTTTTTTCACCAATCCCTGACATGTTTTATTTCCTCAAATGAATATAACACCTGCTACTCTTTTTATTACTTGTGTTTTTTCTTGATTTCTAATTGAGGGGAAACTTAAGTAATTATGAACTCATTAAACATAGCAGCCGCCATATTTTTCATTTTATTAATTAAATATACTTGTATCTTTTTCTTTTTATTTTCTTTATTGTTATATTTTAATTATTATTTTTTGCCCATAATTTCGCAGGACTTGTGTAAAAATTAGGATTTTTTTGTCCACAACGGTACTTATTGAACATAATGTTTATGATGACATACTTTTTTCTATACTGTATAAATAACTGATTTTTTTTAATATATTAGTTATTTTTATATTTGGCATGGGTAAAAACAACGCTTTAATAAACAACCCACATAAAGTCTGGTTGTTGTTAATTAAAAAAAATAGTTGTTTAAATATAAACTGTAATGCACAAATGAAGTGCTGATATTTTTAAAATAACGCAAAAACAGCATGGATGTGTGTATCAAATTTAACATGAGCCTACATTATATATGTTTATATATTTTCAATAAAGTCACTTTGACTCATATTCATAATTATCGCACGGTGGTATGGCGCTAATAAGAGTAATTTCTTATTGTTTTCTTAATGCTACATTTCCTTTGTTCGTCTATAAGAAGGGAAATACAGGTGAAAGTGTATGGATATGAGGCTACACATATACTGGCAACCAAACAAAAATTCACAACTGAAAAAAAACTTCATGTTGTCTTTAGTTTTGGTGTACCGATATACGAAAATTTTGCTTAGAAAAAGAAACAACTTTTTATCCGGGCAAGTCTTGGCGAAGTATAAGCAGTAGGCAGCAATGTCTGGTAATATGGAACGTGATGAATCGGGCGATTCTTATTCCTAGAGGAGTTTCCGCCCGGACAATAAAAGAAAAGAATAAACCAAGAATAAATGTGAAACTACTGTTACAAGCTTGAAGGTAGAGACTTCGTTTCTGCCGAATCTGGGGATTTTGCCACTGTGGCATCCATAAAAAATGTATGGATATAAAAGTATGCAACGAAACTTTCTTAAATATCTTTTATTATTAATATTATTTGGTAGTGTTGACCAAATGGACAACAAATATTAATTATATGTATGTTTACTAATACAATCATACATGGACAAGTATTAATATCCCATATCTATGAAAATATATCTAATGGAAATAAAGAGTGTGTACAAAACAGTTTATATATTCTCAGACATACTTATATAACAATTTTATACATTTTTGTTACTATGCCCTCCAGCATGTTTCATTTGGATCATACTTTCACGTTCTTGTATATCCGATGAATCAGAATCTAGGTCGTAATTGCTTTTCAAACATGGAGGTACAAAAATGGAAAAAGGAAGTACCGTTTTATCACTGACTGGTTCGGGAAATTCAGGCTGGGTGAAAAGACTAATAATCACGCTCAAAAATATCACCAAAATACAGCCAATCAAATGAAAGTACATGTAAGAAATGGAGTAAAATGTTTCGAGTCCGGTGCGGGCGGTGTGGGCGGTTGAGGCCGTCTGATTCAGAGAAGGCGTAACGTTTGAGATAGTTGTACTAATATTTACAAATGTCTGATTCAAATAATCAAAAACGTTTGAAATATTGTACGTTTCTGAAATAGGACATTGGTCTGTAGGCCCAAGAGGGAGATAAGGCGTTTTTGGGATGGACGCTGAAAAATTCTGACCTATTATCATCCAAAGAACAAGGCAGATTCCAATGAATGTACTCACATTTACTGCCTTTGCTCGAGCTCTTCGAAAGAATACTGAAGTTAGGAAAAGTCCTAATTCTGGGCCTGTTATGGCCCCCATGAAACTGGCCATTATTTGTCCTAATGGACCTTCTACGTTTGAAAGTAAAAATGCAAATCCGACCGATATAAGGCCATAAATAACAACAACCGCCTTAGATATATTAGCCCCCTTTTCGTCTGATATACCTTTCAGAAAAACTTTGATGAAATCTTCGTACGTTACCGCGGAAAGACTACTTAAACCTGAAGAAATTGTGCTGAGCGAAGCTGCTGCTAAAGCGGCTATAAATAGACCTGGTAAACCTGGATAATCATGAAACAACTCAAGGATTGTGAATGGAATGATTTGATTCAAGTTTTCTACTTGACCAGATGCAAGAGGATCACAACCTTTATTTGAAAAATATGCAAATATCCCGAGACCCTGAATCATAACTAAGATCCATGTAAGTGAATATATAGGTGCTGCGATGTAGAATATTTTCCGTGCAGTTCCGATACTCGGAGTTGAGTTGATTCTCTGTATGCCGGCTTGAGTAATAGCTAAATGGAGAAACTGAGAAGGGGCACCAATCACAAGCGTCCAGAACGTATGACGTAATGTTGGATCTGGGTCAAAGTTGAAGAAGTTCAGGCGAGCCTTGCTGAATATGAGCACGTTCGACATGCCTCCAGCGCTTGTTGTAGTTTTTATAAGAACTGAAATGGAATAAATTCACTTTTGCAATGCGTGGGAAAGGAAAGTTTAATTTAGACTACACACACTTGTTTTGCGAAAGAATCATTTTTGGTTGCCTTTTTTGTGTGAAAACCTATATATAGCGTGTGAGTTACGTATATCTGACAAAACGTTTACTAAAACACGCATGATATATGTACGCGCATGCTACATTGCATCATTGCAGCATAGCGTATTTAAGCGTTTGAGTAACGTAATCGTAAATGAATGTATTCCAGTCAACCAAGCGACATACGTTCCCTACGCTTTCTATTTGTCGACATTTCTGCAACCATATCAGAATTGATCATAACCTCTGAATGACTAATTTGAGCGTCAGCATTGCGTATAAGTCTTGTCTCTATCATATAATGAACGTGTACTTAAAACAAAATTAATTTGTTTCAAATTGTGTTTGGTCTAAACTAAGGGGTTCTTACAATGGCTTATGACAGCATGTCTCTTACGTATACGACGTTTATCTTAACTATTGTATTGTCATTTTTCTCAAATGTTCTCATACATTACTGCAATGCGCTACAGTGTAACAGTCCCTTGATTCACCAGCTCTACTACCAACATTATGATAATTCGAATTCTCATTGGCTTAAACTACGGTGTTCCGTTTGGACAATCGTGCTATTTTACTTAGTCTGTAACCGCGATGCACGACGGCACGATGGTGAAAACACAATGGCACGATGGTACGTTGGTGAAAACGCGAGGGTTCGATGATGAAAACGCGATGGTACGATTGTAAAATCGCGATGACACAATCGCACAATGGTAACATCGCGATGTTACATCGCGTTTTCATCATCGTACCATCGCGCCTCCACCATCGCAACATTGCGTTTTCACCATCGTATCATCGCACCATCGCGCATCGTGGTTTTATCATCGTGCCATCGTGCTTTCACCATCGTACCATCGCGTTTTCATCATCGTGCCATAGCGCTTTCACCATCGTACCATCGCGTTTTCACCATCGTACCATCGCGCTTTCACCATCGTACCATCGCGCTTTCATCATCGGGCCATAGCGCTTTCACCATCGTATCATCGCGTTTTCCCCATCGTACCATGACGTTTACACCATCGTACCATCGCGCTTACACCATCGTACCATTGCGTTTTAACCATCGTACCATCGCGTTTTTTACCATCGTACCATTGCGCCTTTACCATCTTACCATCGCGTTTTCACCATCGTGCCATCGCGTTTTCACCATCGTACCATTGCGCTTACATCATCGTACCATTGCGTTTTCACCATCGTACCATCGCGTTTTTTACCATCGTACCATTGCGCCTTTACCATCTTATCATCGCGTTTTCACCATCGTACCATCGCGTTTTCACAATCGTACCATCGCGTTTTCACCATCGTATCATCGCGTTAACACCATAAGAATCTGACATTTTCTATTCGTGTACTTGTCATACTGACTGGAAGGCGACGGTACGATGGTGAAAGCGCGATGGCACGATGGTAAAAGCGCGATGATACGTAAATAACACGATTGTCCAAACGGAACACGTATTAAAAACCTTGTATTCTATGCAGTTTGTACGGCATAACCAAGGTACACAAAAATAACCCATTTATTTATACATCATAGACGATTAAGTATTGCGTTATCTTTTTTACGTGCGTTTCTTTTCTGCGTTTCTTTGAAAACAATATAAAGTTGCTGGGGTTTCCTATGAACTTATCGTCAGTAACGATGTGTGCTATTATAAATTCGTTGTACTAGTTGCTGACGGTCATATTAATCTCTTTCTGGCTATATCTCCACATATATCCCGTCAGTAACTTGTATAGCATAGTATATAACTGATTTCACGGCTTGTTAATTTCAGATATAAAGTCTCATCAACAATTTCAATTTCTAACTCATTTCAATGGGGCATGACCATTTTATCTTTTACGAGTTATGCATCATAAAGTTAACATCAAAATTTATATATTAACCTTTTTAAGTGTTTTATAGACAACCTTCTACATAGATTTAGGTGAAACGTCATCTTGAGTGAAAAGCTGACGTAAAATACAGGATATGACTATGTCGGTGTAATGTTGAACGATATAAAATCCACATTGATGCGATATATTGATAAAGCACACTAAATACACGATTTACGATGGGTATGTTTAAGAGTTAGCTCATCGGTAACGTTTGGTAGGTAAACTTATCATTGGCATTACATTGGTACCAATATTTACGAACAAAATTATCCATTAATTTACAGTAGTTTTGGAAAGCTTAATTTATGACGTCATTCAAAATGGCGATCTTGATCTGATTTCCATTGTTATATGAAACTTAAAGGCACTCTGAGTGTTTTTAAACAAATAATAGTACAAAATACGATTTTCAATTCATTTCAGAGTTTGTTTTCTAATTATCTTGTGCATTTCTATTTGTTTTTGGTGCCCCAGACATTAATATTTTATGTTTTTTTTTTAGGTTTTTGGACATCAGTGGAGTCACGAGATCCTTAAATTGAACATATAATATTGTTAATTTACAAAATGTAAAAAAGTGCAGAATTGCAAATTTTCTTTTTCCCACTCTTTATAATAGTGCATCTTTCTTGAACCATAGCGGAATAAACATCATATCTACCCTAGACAAAGATAGGTCCTCTAAATAGGTGATGCAGGACAAATAATCAACCCATGATCAATACAAAAAGTTTGACAATTTTACCAGCAGGATATCAGGGCGTCTATAATCCGATCACGATCTTTAATGTGTTTGATAAGAAAGAGCTCAGCGTGGTTCAGGTGGACATGTATATGTACCAATACATCAAAAAAAGTGACCTTTAAAGAATTAAACAGCGAAATAAAATCTGTGTAGATAAAAATGATAAAAACCTAAGGTCGATCACTAAGTTCTTAGACCAGCGACTCATAAACTTAATCTTGATGATAACCTTAAAGTAACAAACAAAGCTGTTACCTGCAAGTATGCCTACAAGCATGACGAGGGATTGAAAGACGTCAGTCCATATGACGGCCTTGAATCCTCCAATGGACGTGTAGATGATGGAAGACGTCGAGAAAATAAGAATTGATGACCACATTGGAAGTTTGGCGACTGATTCCAAGGCCAACGCTGTACCATACATAACTATTCCCATGTAGAACGTATAATGGATAACGCCTAACGTAACGGCAACGTAACGTACAGAATTAGTTTTGTAACGTAGAAAATAGTACTCGTAAACACTGGTGACTTTCAGAGGGTGGAATATTGGTACAACAATAAGCGCAGCAAGTAGATAGCCACAAATGACACCAACACATTGCATGGCATACTGGAGACCGTAGGCGTATGCTTCCGCCGGAAATCCCAAAATTAAGATGGACGACTGAAACGACACAACAAAAGACAATCCCACTGGCAGCGAACTCAGTTTCCTATCCCCAAGGAAATAATTTTCCGTCGTGTTATGTTTTTTATCCCGTAATGCGAAAAACACTCCTATTGCAACAGAAATAAATATAAGAAGTCCAAAAACAACAAAATCCGGCACAGAAAACGACCGCGCGAGCGTTTCAGTGTCCATTGTTCCTTTAAAAAAATGAGAAAGAAAATGTTATACAACAGTTTTGTTTAAGTAAGTTTGTAGCTCTTATATTCGGCTTAACGCAGATTACTTGTATACTACCGCTTAAAGTATAATTGTATACTTTATATAGCCCCATATTCCACGGAGCAAAACAAGATTCATTTATGTAAATCAATTATACAGCAATATATACTGCAATGTATACTCCATTACAATAAAAAGATAAACAGATGGATAACAGATGCGCCTATAACTTTATAAAGTTTTATAAAGTATGTGTACGTATGAATATTGTTGATATGTAAAGTTTTGATTGTATTAAGATTTGTTTTGTTTTGTTTTTGCTTTTGTCCTAAACTATAGTAGCAATGGCGACTTTCCAGTTTTCGTTGGAGTAAAATCAACGTCAGATGTCAATCCGTGCATTATTTCATGCACAAGCGGGTATTTGAGTAGAATAAGCGGTCTGAACCACGTGACCCCGACGATTGAATTCAAGAACAAGTCTGGAGATTGAAAGTACATACTTTTTTCCATACAAATTATTTTCATCGATGACATATGTCGTTGGATATATTGTATTTGCTTTTCTGGATTTATCATGAACATTGGTTCCCAAACACTTGCGTATATGTCATGAGTATTATTCACTGGAAACAAATAATACCAGGACTTCTATACTTAAAGAAAGATCACCTAAAAAATAACGTGATGTTTTTGTCATTTGCGGGAAGCAGAAAAATCGAAAGACCAGCCGGCCTATTCATAACCTTTTTTTTTTTTTCATTATTATCATTAAAATGATAGACTTTTAATTTTCTAATGTCTCAGAATATGACTTTGAAGAACTAGTTATGTTACAAAATATATTAAATAAGCTTCCGCGAATATTTTTTCAATGTATTGGTGGGTTTAATGAATACCATATTTATCATGAATACAAGTAATTTCACGTCAGTCGTAAAAATCGAATGATACCCAAATAAAAGCTGTGTAAGAGCACACTTTTATACACCGCTAAAAAGAAAAGGCGGGAAAAGTAAGTAATAATTATTGCACAAAATGTGTAAAAAAGGACACAGTCAATTTGTTTAAACTTACAAGCAAGTAAAGATGTTATCTGTTCTTTCATTCATTGGTATTACTTTATTTTATATTACATTATTTTATGAGATATCAACACTTTGAGCACTGAACCTTGCGATTTTAATTGTGTTTCATTTCGTTTTATATGTCGCGCTTCATATGTATCAATATACCGGTAATATAATGGTAACATCAGGGTCAATGTAAAGTTGAATAATATGGTAAAATAAGCATAAAATACTAGTATGTATAGAATCAGTTTGGGAAATAATGAGTTATCATCACTCAAATCCATGAACGTTAATAAATAGGCGCTGCGATATAAAATACATTCCGTGCAGTTCCGATACTCGGAGTTGAGTTGTATGGAGGGCGTTCGTTGCCAAAATTCCAGACATGTAAAGTGTTCCTTTTTAAAATGACTTTTGAAAATGCGAACTTGTATGCCTACCACTTTTATTGTATGCCTCTTAATACAATCTTTTAATTGAAGGTTACCGCCTTTATATAACAAGTTTACATATATATCGTAACAACTGACCTAACATCTAAAACGACAACAAATTTACAAGTTCGAATCTTCCATTGCATGCAATACATACGCATGTTTGCACACTTATAGATCTGTAATATACAAATGAAATGTAAAACTCGAATACGAAAAATAGAGTTTAAGAAAACGTGTTACAAGTTGTAGAACTACAAGAGTACATTAACACAGTGACATGTTTAAAATGACAAAAGTAGATTCACAAAGTTAAACGATTTTAAGTCAAGCATAACGCCCCGCCCCTCTCGGAGTATTTACGACCTTCTATTGCGGACAGGTATAAAACGGCGCCTCTCCCATATTTTTATATAAAACTGAAGGACAACATACGGCATTTTTCATAACATATATATGTTACAAAAGTTTTGTCACTAGCAACATCACTTGAAAATTGCTGATTTTACCATTTATGATGAAGATAACTTGTGCATTACCTTATTATTTAACATCGTGTTCTTATCAGTTACAAATTATTTATCATTTTAGTGATTACCCTGTCCGTGCTATGCCCTGTCCTGTGTTTTGTTTGGGGTCAACCTGGGCTTCTTGCCACTTGTTCTTGTTGCTGGGTCATGTAGGGTTGTGTTCATTGAGCGCCGCCTTTCCTTGTTGATTTTGTTTATCATATATTCCCGAGATACATCGGCGATTTGGAAATTTTTAGGGGAAACAATGACCAACTTCAAGGGAGTAATTTTATTGATAATGTAAAAACCATCCAATATTCTTATTGGTATCATTGAAAAATGTATTGGCACAAATTTCACTTTCAACAAAAACTATGCAAGTATTTGCAAAAATAGGATTTTAAAGCGGCCACCGAGATTTCCTTTCCGAAATCAAGAAAATACTTATCCGTAGCACATATGTACAATCTTTAATAAGGTATTTTCAGTATGAATAAAACTTTTTGCACTTGTTCATTATCCCTCATGTACAGACTAAACTCAACTAAACCGAGTCTGCAATTCTTATGTAATTTTGTAGTGATTAATGCTTCCGAGGGATCATTTTGTTTTCAGATTTTAATACTTCACAACAGCAGGTGCCAAGTGCCGTGTGGCAGTTGTTAAAAGTTGCCCCGTACTTCACTTCAGTGTTTTTCTGGTCCTTCGGGATCATTGATGCCAGCGCTATTAAGTGTTGAGAATTGAGTACCGTTCAAGTCGGTGCTAGGGGGCGTGAGGGATTTTGCAATTGTTCATTATCCCTCATGTGCAGACTCAATCAAACCGAATCTGCAATTCTTATGTAATTTTGTTGAGATTAATGCTTCCGAGGGATCACTTTGTTTCCAGATTTTTAATATACTTGTTCAAAGCTTATGGTCTTAAATTTCATTCAATATTCAATTTCCTTTTTGAATAAAGTATCTAAAGGAAGCGACGTTATTGTTTTCCGAATATATGAGTGTGGATTTAAGAGAGAAAAAAATAACAACGATAAGTTAGAAACAAATTTTTTTTAATACTTCTACATAATTAGTTTTCATTTTTAAGGCATCACTAGAAAGTTCATAAAGGATTCTTGTACTTGAGTCTAAAATTATCAACGCCGCCTTTCCTTGATGATCTTGTTTATTATCAAAATTGACCAAGAAATAAAAAAAGTAAGTAGGGGGCGCCATGTTTTTTTACTGAATTTCAGAGCGTGTTTGTTTTTACTTGGGGATCATATGCCGTTTTTCATGGTATGGCACTTACGTGTCACATTGAAAGTTCCATGATAATCGCCATATTAACACATCTGCAGATGTTTCAAAATTGTACCAGTTCATGTTGAATTTTGCTTAAGCCGGTGCTAGGGGGCGCGGACGATAACTTGCTCTTTCCATTACCGTCCATGAGCAGGCTCAATCAAACCGGGCCTGCAACATTCTCAATTTTGTCGTTTTGAGCGTTCTTTAGGGATTCTTATTTTCTCTATTTTACAGAAAGTAACATGATAAACGTTTTAACGAAAGTTAATTCAGTTTGATTTAATTCTTTTTTATTTTTAGGCATTATATAATTATATATCATAAATCGTATGAAGCACACTTTTATTTCAATACAAAATTATTAAAATATATTACGAACTTAAAAAAAAAAGTTTGGAGGGAACGCCGTGTTTTTCTTACCAATTCGAGAGTGTTATTTTCAGAGTAAAAAAACCTAAACATTCCATACATCTATTTAATTCATTTTTATTTTCGAGGCACTCATAGAAAGCTTATGGAGTAATCTTTCATTTGATACCAATAATATTGGACTTTTAATTGAAATAAAAAAAGTTAGAATGGACGCCGTGTTTTCCTTCACTTTATTGAGAAATAGGAGAGAGGCGACGGGTATTGTACCTGTCCGTACATTTCCGTGATAGAAGATCGCAAATACTAAGAGAAAGGCGGGGCGTCATGCGTGACTTAGAATCGTCTAATTTTGTGAATCTACTTTTGTCATTTTAAACATGTAACTGTGTAAACGTACTGTTGTAGTTCTACGACTGGAACACGTTTTATTAAATTATATTTTCTGCATTCGAGTTTTACATTTCATTTGTGTTTTTCAGGTACAGATATATATCTACAAGTGTGTAAACATGCTTATGTATTATATGCAATGGTAGATACGAACTTGTAAATGTGTTGTTGTTCTCCATGTTAGGTCAGTTGTTAAGATTTACATGTAAACTTGTTATTTAAAAGCGGGTGCCTTCAATTAAAAGATTGGATTAAGAGGCATATCATTTGCTGTGCACGAATGCAATAAAAATGCTAGACATATATGTTCGCATTTTCAAAAGTAGTTTTCAAAAGGAACACATTACATGTCTGGAATTTTGGCAACGATCGCCCTCAATAGAGTTGATTCTCTATATCCCGGCTTGAGTAATAGCTAGATGGAGAAACTGAGATATAAAGGTTTGGAAAGTATGACGTAATGTTGGATCTGGGTCAAAGTTGAAGAAGTTCAGGCGAGACTTGCTAAATATGAGCACGTTCGACATGCCCCCAGCGCTTGTTGTAGTTTTTATAAGAACGGAAATGAAATAGATATGTTTTTGCGTTGCATGTGAAAGGAATATTGGCGTGTGTGGTATGATGACTTAATGCGTTAGAACTATTTTGGTTGCCTTGAAACGTTTTCGCGTTCGTTATTTCTTCCAGCAACGTGTTTTTGAGCCTCGGAAATAGGACAAAGTCACAAGGGTCAAGATCTGGCGAATAACTTTTTCCTGTTTCAGATATTCTCGTACAATGTGTGTGACGAAGCATTGTCATATTACAACCTGGCACCACGGAGACCAGTTGCTGGTCGACAGGTTTGTAAAATTTGGCAATTACAGATTTACCCTTTGGTACAGCATTTTGAATAGCAGGACAGAGATTGGTAAGGAAAATTACATACTTGACATTTTTGACAATCATTAAGCGTTTGACTATGCAATTACTTTGATTTCTTTTGGTTGTCCATATTGTGTTTGTATATTTCGCTTTGGTTCATAAAGTGGACCCAAGTCTCATTCCCAGTGTTGATATTTGCAAAAGATATATTGTTGTATCAAGGGAACTGTTTCAACAATCGTTTGGAGATTTTTGTCCGAGCAAGTGTTTGCTCTTTTGTAAGGAGATAGTGTATCCATCTGGCACTTATCTTTCTCATTTTTAAATCACGTTTGAGAATTGTATGAGCGGCTCCTACAGAGACAACAACACGTTTAGCTTTATACCTAGTTGTAAACCTTGCATCATTGCCAAACAAATCCTTTACTTTTTCAAACATTTGTGACGAAGTTGCAGTTTTCGGACGAAGTGCATGAGGTGCATCCTTTAATGAATCATCACCACTTTCAAATTTCTTCCACTGCCGTGTTACAGATGAAAGAGCAAGTTCATTGTTCCCATACTAAGAATGCATCGGTTCTTGATATTAAACCATATGTGGTCACTGAAAGATTCCAAACCATTTAGCTTTACACGTCGAGTAGATAGCGTTAATCGAGTGGACTAAACTGATTTACACATATACATGTGTTGTATCCACAACCATATATGCGATACATGTACATAGTTCGATAAAAGCGAGAAATTGGCCTAGCTGCTTGCATATTAGAACACACCTCGTAACGTGCATACGGTTGGCATCAAACTGACATTTAATTGGTTTGAATATGCATAATCAGCCTATTACGATATCGTTATATATGTTTTATAATATAGTAATAAACATTCTATGAGTAATAAAAAATATAATTAACTAAATATTGATAATGATTAAAAAGATTTTGCATTAATTCCCAACATGTTTTAATTGCTCACATGTATTAAACACCTGTTACACTCTTTATGACATGTTTTCTTCTCCACTTGTCATTCAGTGGAAACTAATAATTATGTCAGATAAAAAAACACAGACAATCGTCATGTTTAATAAATTAAATAGACTTCTTCCTTTTTTATCTTTCTTTCTAACCTTTGCCCCAAATTGATTAAAATCAGTTCTAAATCATGCTCCGCTTTTAGATCTAAGCGTGACCATATACGAAATAATTTCTGATGACTTTTCACACAGCCAAAAAAAAAGGCGATCTTTCATAATTTTGAAAGCGATGTGGGTTCTAATTTTAAGCCTGGGAAACCAGTGGTGAGTAAGTAATTTTCACGATTGCGAGAACAAACATGGCGTTATCCACATAACCGACAGGTAAACAGGAAAAGCAATCTTGCTTCTTGAAAACTGGCTCTATTTGTTATAGTAATTTGTTAAAGATTACTTCCAACATTTTTTTCTAACAAATAACAAGAAATTGTTTATCTTCCCCGTATAACTGTATTTTGATACTTCTTCTAATGCATATGTAAAAATCGGTTTGATTGCATGGTTAAATAGCTTTTATAAAGAAGGCGAAACATATTCCGTCGTCATTAGATCTACATCAAAGAAATGAGTATAGATCTGAACTTGAGACAGATCGCTTTTGCCTCAAACAGTATAGTAACATAAAGGGTTAATGTAAATGAGCGGATATGTCTAAAAAAATAAAAATTAAAAGATTATGGCGGCCTTTTTTTTCTATACTGCATAAATAACTGATTTCTTATGATATATTTGACATGTGTAAAATCGCTTCAATATGCAACCCACAAAAATTATGTTTGTTGTAAATTAACGATGCATATTGCACATTGTTATGATGCTAATTTAAGTACTTTTTCTTGTTTTCTTGATGCTACATTTTCTTCGTCCGTCAGATAAATAAGGGTGAAAGTGCGTAGATATGAGGTTATAGATACGAGTATACTGACAACCAAAGGAATTCAAACCTGAACAAAATACTTGATATTGTCTTCATTTTGGGTGTACCGATATACAAAGGTCTGTTTAGAAAAAGAAGCAACTTTTTTATCGGGACAAATTTTGCAAAATTAGAAACAGTAGGCAACAAAGTCTACAAGCCTAAAAATATGGCACGTGATGATTCGGGCGATGCGTATTCAATAAGGAGTTTCCGTCCGGATACAAACAGAAAAGAAAGGACCAAGAGTAAATTACGAAATTACTGTTAAAAGGTTGAAGGAAGAGACCTTGCTTCTTTCGACTTTGACGATGTAAAATGAAGAACCAAAAACAAATTATGGAAATAAATGTATGCAACGACACTTTCTTACATAACTTTATTATTATTATTATCATTATTATTATTATTATTATTATTATTATTATTATTATTATTATTTCGTTATCTTAATCAGATGATCAACAAATATGTTCTATTTCTACATGTACTTTCTAAGGCAATCATACCTGTATTATATCTGACATCTATAAAGATATGTTTTATTGAAATAATGTCCATTTACAAATATATGTACTGAGAGAGAAAAAACAATATATACATTCTCTGAAGATTTCTTAAGCAAGTATGCTTAACAAGCATATGTATGTGTAAACAATTCATACATTTTTGTTACTTTGCCCTCGAGTATGTTTCATTTGAATCATACTTTCACGTTCTTGTATATCCGATAAATCAGAATCAGGGTCGGAAATGCACTTCAAACATGGGGGTACAAAAATGGAAAAAGGAAGTACAGTTTTATCACTGACTGGTTCGGGAAATTCAGGCTGGGTTAAAAGACTAATGACCACGCTCAAGAATATCACCAATATACAGCCAATCAAATGAAAGTACATGTAAGAAATGGAGTAAAATGTTTCGAGTCCGGTGCGGGCGGTGTGGGCGGTTGCGGCCGTCTGATTCAGAGAAGGCGTAACGTTTGAAATAGTTGTACTAATATTTACAAATGTCTGATTCAAATTATCAAAAACGTTTGAAATATTGTACGTTTCTGAAATAGGACATTGGTCTGTAGGCCCAAGAGGGAGATAAGGCGTTTTTGGGATGGAAGCTGAAAAATTCTGACCTATAATCATCCAAAGAACAAGACAGATTCCAATAAATGTACTTACATTAACTGCCTTTGCTCGAGCTCTTCGAAAGAATACTGAGGTTAGGAAAAGTCCTAATTCTGGGCCTGTTATTGCCCCCATGAAACTCGCCATTATTTGTCCTAATGGACCTTCTACGTTTGAAAGTAAAAAGGCAAATCCGACCGATATAAGGCCATAGATTACAACAACAGCCTTAGATATATTAGCCCCCTTTTCGTCTGAAATATCTTTCAGAAAAACTTTGATGAAATCTTCGTACGTAACCGCGGAAAGACTACTTAAACCTGAAGAAATTGTGCTGAGTGAAGCCGCTGCTAAAGCAGCTATAAATAGCCCCGGTAAACCTGGATAATTATGAAACAATTCAAGGATTGTGAATGGAATAATTTGATTCAAGTTTTCTACTTGACCAGATGCAAGTGGATCACAACCTTTGTTCGAAAAATATGCAAATATCCCGAGACCCTGAATCATAACTAAAATCCATGTTAGTGAATATATAGGTGCTGCGATGTAAAATATTTTCCGTGCAGCTCCGATACTCGGAGTTGAGTTGATTCTCTGTATCCCGGCTTGAGTTATAGCTAGATGGAGAAACTGCGAAGGGGCACCAATCACAAGCGTCCAGAAAGTATGACGTAATGTTGGATCTGGGTCAAAGTTGAAGAAGTTCAGGCGAGACTTGCTAAATGTGAGCACGTTTGACATGCCTCCAGCGTTTGTTGTAGTTTTTATAAGAACTGAAATGGAATAAATACACTTTTGCAATGTTGTGAAAGGAAGTTAAAGATAGACTACAGTAAAAACCCGCTTTACGACCACCCCGTTTTCGAGACCAACCCGCTCATACGAACGATTTTTCAAAGACCCGATTTTTTTATTATTTATTTTAATGATCGCTAACCCCGACTTTTAGACCACCCCGTTATTCCGTAATACGACCAGTAACTTCAGTCCCATTTCGTAAATTCTGTACATTTGGAAACCCATAAATACGACCGCGGGCACACTCTCACCTAGATATTGACATGCATGAAATCTTTTTGACACGTGATGTAAACAACAGTTGTCCTAGTTTTACGACATTTAACGACATCCAATTTACGGCAGAGGTCAAAGTTACTTTGTATCAAACCCGGAAATGATCAATAATTTCTTAATTTCACACCTTTAATGTCATAACTGGAGGATTAAAACAACAAAATATTGAACAGAAAACTTTCAATAAGTTTTTAGAGGTGTTGCTGCTATCATTATCTCTTTCGTTCCATAATTTTAAACAAAGATAAACATGATACGATTAGGTTTTTGAAGTTGTTATCGGCGATGAAAACTGTGAAAATAATTAAAGGTTAATTGGTCGATGTGCTTTGTAGTAAAATGGTGATTTAATTGAGTAAGTTATGTCATTCTTTTAACACGAATGTAAAAATGTTTTTGTGTTTAAAGACATTCATAATTTATTTTGTACCTCTAAAGAAGTTTAAAAAATTTATAATGTTAAAAAGTAAAAGAAAATAAATGAAAATAAAAAATAAAAGTGTATGCTTAATATCTTCTTATTTGAAATAAGTTAGCCCAGAATTAAACATGTGTACAGTACATGGTATCCCTTAATATATTGCCTGGTTTTCTGTTTGACCAAACTCATTAATGAGACCAACCCGCTATTAAGACCAGATTTGTAAAGTCCCTTCATTGGTCTCATTAGCGAGTTTTTACTGTACATATAATTGTTGTGCGAAAGAACCATTTAGCGTATTTTAGAGTGTGAGTAGCGTATATGTAAATGCAATTCGAGCAAGCTTAGCCTGTCAACCAAGCGACATACTTTCCCTACGCTTTAAATTCGTCGATGATACCTACAATGGAATTATTGAATTCAATTATATACGTTTTCTGACTCCCTTGCCGTAAACGTAAGAATCGGTCATAACCTCTGAATGACTAATTTGAGCGTCAGTCTTGCTCTATCATATAATGAACGTGTACTTAACAGATTGTTACGATGGCTTATGGCAGCATGTCTAACACGTATACGACGTATATTTTAACTATTGTATTGTCATTTTACTCAAATGTTCTCACACATTTCTGCAATGCGCTACAGTGATTCACCAGATCTACTACCAACATTATGATGATGCAAGTATGTATTTCGAATTTTCATTGGCTAAAACACTTTGTATTCTATACAGTTTGTACGGCATAACCAAAATACACACAAATGACCAATTTATTTATACATCGTAAGCGATTAGTTTTGCGTTTGCTCTAAATGACATATATCTAGATAAATTATCATTACTTTAGAACAATAGTTAAAAGTTAGAAAGCTATGATGACGTTGTACTTGATTTTTTTTTATTTTGCAGCACAAGCTTAACTATAGTCTAAAGTCTGACCTCATCTTTTTACATGAGTGTCTTTTCTGCGTTTCTTTAAAAACAAAATAAAGTTGCTAGGATTTCCTATGAACTTATCGTCAATAACGATATGTGTTATTACAAATTCGTTGAAAAGGTTTCTGACGGTCATATTTATCTCATTCAAGCTATATTTCCACATACATCCCGTCAGTAACTTGTAAAGCATAGTATATAACTGATTTCACGGCTTGTTAATTTCAGATGTAAAGTCTTATCACCAATTTCAATTTCTAGTCATGACCATTTTATCTTTTACGAGTTATGCATCATAAAGTTACAATGTATCATCAAAATTTATATATAAACCTTTTTAGGTGTTTATAAAAAAACATTCTACACATATTTAAATAAATGATACGTCATCTTGAGTGAAAAGCGGACGTAAATTACAGGACAGGACTATGTCGGTGAAATGTTGAACGATATAAAATCCACATTTGATAAAGCACACTAAATACACGATTAACGAGGGGTAAGTTTAAGAGTAAGCTCATCTGTAACGTTTTGTAGGTAACCTTATCATTGGTTTTTCATTGGTACCAATATTTACGAACAAAATTTGTCATTAATTTACAGTAGTTTTGAAAAGTTTTATTTATGACGTCATTCAAAATGGCGATCTTGATCTGATTTCCATTGTTAAATGGAACTTAAAAAACAAGAATAAAGATCATAAAGATCAACAAGGCATAGGCAACGTTCACAGGACCCCGCCCCCGGACACACCCAAGCAGGACACCCAGAAGGCACCAAACAAGCACCCGGAGTGGACACAAGGGCGAGACATGTAATTAAAGACACCTTGAGTGTTGTTACACAAATAATAGCACCGATTTATTTCAGAGTTTGTTTCGTAATTATCTTGTGAATTTCTGTTTGTTTTTGGTGCCTCAGACATTAATATTTTATGTGTTTTTTTTAGGTTTTTGGACATCAGTGGAGTCATTGAAAATGTAATATTGCTAATTTACAAAATGTGAAAAAGTGCAGAATTGCAAATTATCTTTTTCCCACTCTTTATAATAGTGCATCTTTCTTGAACCATAGCGGAATAAATATAATATCTACCCTAGACAAAGATATGTCCTCTAAATAGGTGCTGCAGGACAAATAATCTTCCCATGATCAATACAAAAAGTTTGACAATTTTACCAGCAGGATATCAGGGCGTCTATAATCCGATCACGATCTTTAATGTGTTTGATAAGAAAGAGCTCAGCGTGGTTCAGGTGGACATGTATATGTACCAATACATCATAAAAAATGACCTTTAAAGAATTAAACAGCGAAATAAAATATCTGTAGATAAAAATGATAAAAACCTAAGGTCGATCACTAGTTTATTCAGCACCTTAGACCTGCGAGTCATGAACTTAATCTTGATGATAACCTTAAAGTAAGAAATAAAGCTGTTACCTGCAAGTATGCCTACAAGCATGACGAGGGATTGAAAGACGTCAGTCCATATGACGGCCTTGAATCCTCCAATGGACGTGTAGATGATGGAAGACGTTGAGAAGATAAGAATTGATGACCACATTGGTAGTTTGGCGACTGATTCCAAGGCCAACGCTGTACCATACATAACAATGCCCATGTAGAACGTATAATGGATAACACCTAACGTAACGGCAACGTAACGTACAGAATTAGTTTTGTAACGTAGAAAATAGTACTCGTACACGCTGGTGACTTTCAGAGGGTGGAATATCGGTACAACAATAAGCGCAGCAAGTAGATAGCCACAAATGACACCAACACATTGCATGGCATACTGGAGACCATAGGCGTATGCTTCCGCCGGAAATCCCAAAATTAAGATGGACGACTGGAATGACACAACAAAAGACAATCCCACTGGCAGCGAACTCAGTTTTCTATCCCCAAGGAAATAATTTTCCGTCGTGTTATGTTTTTTATCCCGTAATGCGAAAAATACTCCTATTGCAACAGAAATAAATATAAGAAGTCCAAAAACAACAAAATCCGGCACAGAAAATGAGCGTGCGAGCGTTTCGGCGTCCATTGTTCTATCTAAAAAAAACGAGAAAGAAAATATTATACAAGCTAGTTTGTTTACAAGTGTTTGTAGCTCTTATGTTCGGCTTAACGCAGATTACTTGTATACTGCCGTTTAAAGTGTTATTATTTACTTTATATAGCCTCATATTCCTCGGAGCAAAACAAGATTCATTTATGTAAATTATTTACTAGTATACAGCAATTTTCAAATCCATTACAATAAAAAGATAAACAGATGGATAACAGATGCGTCTATAAGTTTTATAAAGTTTAAGTATCAAATTGTGTACGTATAATTCTTGTTGATATGTATACTTTTAATTGTGTTAAGATATTTTGTTTTGTTTTCGCTTTTTTCTAAACTACAGTAGCAATAATAAGGTCCGATGGCGACTTTCCAGTTTTCGTTGGAGTAAAACAAACTTCAGATGTCATTCCGTGCATTATTTCATGCACAAGCGGGTACTTGAGTGAAAAAAACCGATCTGAACCACGTGACCCCGACGATTAAATTTTAGAACATGTCTGGAGATTGAAAGTACATTTTTTATTCCATACAATTTTTTTTTTTCATCGATGACATATGCCGTTGGATATTTTGTATTTCCTTTTCTGGATTTATCATTAACAATGGTTCCCAAACACTTGCGTATATGTCATGAGTATTATTCACTGGAAACAAATAATACCAGAACTTCTACACTAATCTTAAAGAAAGACTACCTTAAAATTTACGTGATGTTTTGTGATTTGCAGGAAGCAGAAAAATCGAAAGACCGGCGTATTCATAACCTTTTTTTTTTTCATTATTATTATTAAAATGATAGACTTTTAATTTTCTAATGTCTCAGAATATGATTTTGAAGAACTAGTTATGTTACAAAATATATTAAATAAGCTTCCGTGAATAATTTTTCAATGTAGTGGTGGATTTAATGAATACCAAATTTATCATGCATACAAGTAATTTCCAGTCAGTCGTAAAAATCAAATGATGCCCAAATAAAAGCCGTGTAAGAGCACACTTTTATAAACCGCTACAAAAGAAAAGGCGGGAAAAGTAAGTAATTAGTATTGCACAAAATGTGTTAAAAGTCACAGTCAATTTGCTTAAACTTACAAGCAAGTGAAGACGCTATCTGTTCTTTCATTCATTGGTATTACTTTATTTTATATTACATTATTTTATGAGATATCAACACTTTGAGCACTGAACCTTGAGATTTTAATTGTGTTTCATTTCGTTTTATATGTCGCGCTTCATATGTATCAATATACCGGTAATATAATGGTAACAGCAGGGTCAATTTAAAGTTGAATAATATGGTAAAATAAGCATAAAATACTAGTATGTAGAATCAGTTTGGGAAATAATGAGTTAATAAAATAAAGTAATGACTTAAGCAGTGTCTGAAAAATAAAATACGTTGTCTTCTTACTCTGAAACAAACAATCAAAATTGCCGGGGGCTGACTGAAAGGGAATAAACCTTCGTTTTTTATCATATTCGTACTCGGTTATATAGTTTTTCTATCAGCTTATAGCTTCACAATCGGAGTAAAATGTTATCTAAAATGTATCTGGAAAGCTAGAAATAAATTTGAAAAGATGAAACTAAACAAAATAGTTGTAATGCACGGTTTGGCAAAAGTGAATTCATTTTTCTTTTCTTACTTTTTTCTGACCACTTATGTTGTTCTGACTTCTCGGCAACAATATAAATACGTACGACTATGTAGTAAATTATGTTATTGGAGTAAATTTTAAAAGAAAAAAAATAGTCGGGATTCGCCTTTCGTCAGAACTTTAAGTGCTTTGATAGTTACGCTTCGAAAAGTGCTACCCGACCTTTGGCGTTTAATTATTGAGTTTCTTTCTTGCATTGATTGTGCAAATCATACCATGAACAACCGTAGTATTTTTTTTTCTATCTTTACAAATTTTATAACATGAGAAACTCGTGTATAGTGACCTTAAAAATGACATATGAAATAAATCTAAAACAAATGAACTCTAATTCTTCATATGTTTAACCTGAAATCTAGACCATGGTCTGTGTCGTAAGAATAACGAAATTTCCATAACGAAATAAAAGAAACATTAAGGGTCCTCTATTTAGCGTGATCAAGAGGTGCATGACGACTGGTTTTTGTTCGATTTAATCGGATGCTTTAACACAAACCAATTCTTTTTTTTTTTTTATTTGTTTTTTTTTTTTCAAAAAGACTAGACTATATTTTGTCATTCTTAGTCACTGTTCTCAAAATGCTTCACGTTTTTTTTTGTTTGCTTTTTTGCGATTTTTTTGTCTAAAAGACAAATGTTTTACAAAAGACGAAAAGATACCTTTTCGCCTTAACAACAACTTTAAATAAACCGAGAAAAGGTTCGGCGAAATAAACGTTTTTATTTTCTTTAATCTTTGTGAATAAAATAAATTGATTTTGTTAGACTGTCGTATTTAATTGAATTAAAATCAATCGACTTGTACACCATGATCTCACCAATTGGAGGCCATTTAACCTTTCCGTACGAAATAGCAGTGCTCGGGCACGTAAACAAAATAAAATGATTGTAAAGAAGCTTTAATTTGCGGCGCACAATTATGAAACAGTTTCATAATATTCTGGATTTCAGGTTAAGGATATTAAATTGGTTGATACAAAACTATTTATCAGCGATGATTTTTTTCACAGCACAAAATCAACATTAAGGTTACGCGGATGTGATTTCCCGTGCACTTGTTACCTAGTTATAATGTAAAAAAGATAATAATTACCATATACATGAAGATAAAGCTACAAAAATAATTCAATATCATACATTATGCTGATTTGAAGCAGGCAATGAAATAAGAAAAACAACGTGTTGAGGGAGATGCTGCGAGCGATACTCTTCTTGATGTGGCGAAGATTAAGCTTAACAAATCCCTTGCTACAATTACTCATAATAGAAACATATTGAAACAGTAATAAATACATGTTATTTCATTTAATGTTTATATTATTCAACTCATTGTTATATTTCAGTTATTTATCAACTTATTTGTTAAAATTTGAATCATATTGTATGTGCCGAGATATATGTGTTTTACATTTGCACTTGCCTAACAGTGACGCTAAAATGCAACACAAACATGACAATTACCCAATACAAAAGCGAAAGTAACGATGTGAAAAAGTATTAATGCTTAAAAGTAAATATTAAACAAGAGGGCCAAAATGGTGCTAGATCGCTCAATTGACCCATCGAACTCATCCGAGCAATTACTTCGACATGCATTCTGACCAAGTTTGATGGCAATTGAGTCCAAAATGTACGTGGCTACTAGAGTCTTAACAAGGTTTTTCCATATTTCGGCATTGTGACCTAGCTTTTATCCCCAGGTGTCCCACATTTAAGCTTGACCTAAAAATCATCAAAACAAACTTTCAGACCAATTTCCAGTATATTTGGATAAATACAGAAGCAATTAGAGAATTATCAAGATTTTTTCTATTTTTAGGTTCTGTGTTCCAATTTTTCATCCGAGATAACCAATTTTCAAAGTAATTCGAAAAATTACCTAGACAAGCATCCTAACCAAGTTTGATGACAATTGAGTCAAAAATGTTACCACTAGAGTGACCATAAGTTTGATCCATACTTGGGCGGTGTCTTAGTTTATGGCCCCAGGTGACCCATATTTAAACTACACCTAGATTTCATCAGACAATTTCCAGCATATTTGAATCAAAATAGTAGTAATAGAGAGTAAACAAGGTTTTTTTCCCATTTTTTTTTTTGCTCCTAAGACCTAGTTTTTCATCCTAGATAACCCATGTTTAAAGTCATCCGAACAATTACCTAAATAAGCATCCTGACCAAGTTTGATGTCAATTGAGTCTAAAAAAGTGAGCACTAGAGTTTTAACATGTGACCCATATTCAAATTTTATCTAGAAATCATAAAAAAACACTTCCAGACCAATGCCCAGGATATTTGGATCAAAACAGTACCCACTAGAGTGTTAACAAGATTTAATTTTTGTATTTTTAGTTCTTGTGACCTAGTTTTCCATCTGAGTTGACCCATGTTCAGACTAATCAGACAAATATCCTGACAACGTTAGGTATGATTGAGGCAAAAATGTGACCACTAGAATGTTAACGAACAAATGTGGACGGACGACGGACATTCAACGATCCTAATAGCTCGCCCTGAGCCAGCTCAGGTGAGCTAAAAATTCTTTAAAACGACATAAAGATACGAAAACAAAATTTCTCATTAAGTTTTTGATAAAGTACCTGAACTATTTTAATCGGTGTATCATAAGATATTTTAATTAAAACGTGCTATTGTCAAATGTGTTTAAATATAATGTTTATTTGTGTTTTAGTTTTATTAAAGCACGACGTTTACCTCTTTTTTTTCTTTTTTTCGCCTCTAATCAGAGTACGCTTGCACTTGGAAAGTAGTTTGTGTATGTATACACTCAGCTTAAATATTTAATGTAAGAGACTTGCATATTAAATATCAAACTATTTGATTGAAATACCATTTCATCATAATAAAGCGTAAAACATACACAACTTGAATGGCTGTCATAATATTTATAAGTCATATGTATGACAAAAACAAAAGACTTCATCTAGGCAGCTGCCTACAACAATTCCCACGATTATAAGATTGTAAGACACATTAATCTTACAATTTTTATTAGCTTTTTTGTCCTCTTCAACAGTAATTGGACTGTGTATATGGATATATGATAGGTATAATCCATTTAGCAAGCATTCCAACTGTATGACGGAGTATTTGCACCATGCAGTCTTTTTTTCGTCAGGATAAAGATGCAAGAAATTTACCAAATATACACAGAGAGAAGTAATCAAGATGTACTCAGAAAGAAATAACCAAAATCTGCTGAAAATACAAAATTGATCGCCGAGACCGCAATAAATTTGGAGGGGGAATTCTTGTTTATTCACGTGATGATTTGCCATTCCATGGAGCCAGAAAATTTTGAATGCATGTGTTTTGAACTATCTTTAAATAAAAGAAAGTGGTGTATCCTTGCTCTTTACAAACCTCCTAATATCAAAAATGAGGATTTTACTATTACTTGCACTAATGTTCTTGATAGAATTTTAATACAATATGATAACATCCTGCTTCTTGGTGATCTGAACTTTGACATGAACAGGCTTGAAAAATCATCCTACCTTCGCGATATTTGTGATACATATAACCTTGAAATTGTTGTAAAAGGAAACACATGCTTTATGAAAAATGCAAGTCAATTGATGTTATTCTAACTAACAGATCAAATTTTATTTGTAACACAGAAAATTTAGATGTTAGTATCAGTGACTGTCACAATCTAGTAGCTACTACAATTAAAGAGCAGTGTTGTCAAACAAAACCGAAATATGTTAAATTTAGATCATACAAACATTTTAATGAGTCTGTTTTCAACACTGAACTTAGCAAAATTCCATTCCATATTGCAGATATTTTTGATGATATTGATGATTCATACTGGGCTTTTG